TATTAAAAGAAGACCCATCCGAAGACAGGCGAAATAGGGGATATGGGGGGGGGGCAAAGTCCCCATAAAAATATATTAGTTGAGCCCCCTGGGAGCAAAGGCTAGTGAAAATCCTGCCACCAACTAACAATTGTGAATGTAAAAGAGTTATTTGAACATGAATTAAATTTGTAAAAGGCTATCATTCACAATGAATAAATTATTATAGTATATTGTTTGGCACTAATATAAATTTGCTGATATAATGTATAACTCTTTTAAATTAAATTTAAAAAGAGAGCGTAAATCCAAAGTCTTATTTGAATAATGATGACTATGATTGTATGCGATATATCAATTTGGTCAATGTTTAGCAATATAATGGTTATAATAGGTCTATAATAAAGGTATTGAATAATTTTTCAGCAATATATTTTGCCCGTTTTTTAATTGATAACTCCTTAATAAATTTATCTCACCCCTAGCCTATCGTTCTATATGCCTATATCCTACCTCCATTAAAAAAATTGGAAGCAAACTACTCTAGCCCCCACCCCCTCCATTTATGTATTGCCATTAATTCACAAAACCAAAAAGATCAAAAATAGCAAAAAATAGATCTTAATAATTTTTTTTATTCCTATAGCTACATCCATCAACTGCTTTTTCTCACCAATAAAATTCAGTTATAAATTTAAGCAGAAAATTAGACATTTTACCAAAAAAGCTTAAAAAAATTTATACATTGGATAAAAAATTCAAATCGAAATTTTTAGATAATTATGGTTAATTTTAGGGAACGCAATTTGTATTATTATTGTTTGCTTAAATGTAAAATTTAATAAAAAAATAAAATATAATATAATATAAAATGGATTTTTACATGTTGAAAAGTTTGAATTTTCTTTGTCTAACTGTGCATAACTTTGGATCCTGTTATTAGACTTTAACAAAGTTTGCAGAGTACTGGGATAATTTATTCTACTGTGAATATATAAATTTTTATTAAATTATTTTTAGAATTGAGAGATTTACTGCTAAAAACAAAGTGTCCATATATCAAAGTCGACTGTAACGCCATTTTGAAATAGCGCTACTCCTATTGGCACTTTTAAATCCATTAAAGAACAAATCGTCAATCATGTTGTAAATAAATATATATCATTCATTCTTTTTTTTTATCGTGCAAACAATTTTTTTATTTCAGTATATAATCTTTTCATAAATAAATTAAATTACTTATTAAAATATTATTACATTATTATTAAGAGTGTGTTTACAACATATATTAGGTAAAATATATGCGAACTTAAAGCAAAGTGGAGTGTTGATGATATCTTGAGCGGGTAGACGGGATAAAATAAAGGCTAAAACAGGAAATTGTAGTTTATATTCATTATAATTTTTGAGGAGACCCTTGTTTTGAGTTACATGAGAAACTAAATCACTACATTTGTAGATCGGTGCAAATCTCAGGGCATAAAAGATTTTAGGTATATGAAAAATAATTTTTTTTAAAAAAAAGAATTGATTCGTGGAAAATAATCAAAGCTCAGGGATTTGCTTAAAAAAGTTTATATAACTTTTTTCCCCAAATCGGGATTCTAAGATGTGTCTTGTCGTTTAATAGTATTGAAAGCATTATTGCTATAAAGTTTTTAAAGCTGTCATCGAGAATGCTATTAGCGAGATGAGCGGAAATTTCATCGTCTCCGAGGAAGGTCAAACCCTAATGACGGATGGATCCCTAATGATTTCTTTTCAATAAATAATATTATATATATTTTTTAAAATATTTTTATAAACTATCTATATTATAAAAATATTGAATTCAACGGCTACAATATTGTTAATTTTTGTAAAACGTCCAAATACGAAAGATTTTAATTATATTAATGTTTGAAAAAGGTGAGAGTATTTTAATTCAGCTCTCATCAATTAATCTGCGAATTTATCCCCCATTTATTTCATCCAAAGAACTAACATTTTCTATAGGGTTATAAATTAAGCTTTATAATTGCTAAAATTCAGTAATTTATTATAAATTATTTATATTTTACCACAATAAATTGTATAAATAGCATATACCAAGCTGGTTATTCGCCATTTTAGAAATGATGAATCTGATATTATTGGCTTATAGAAAAAGGACCCACAGAATGTTCGAAATATTTTTAAAAAAATACTAAGAGTCTCTCTTCCCCTTGAGTAAAGTAGTTATTATTTTCTGTTTGTATCTCTGTTGCAGGTAATATAAAAACTTAGCTAGTTTTAAAATTAGGTTGAAATTTATTTCATCTTTATCATATATATATATATATGAATGTTTTATTTATATAAATAAATTTATTTAAAAAATAAAAAATCGCGCCACCTAGGTAGAAATAATTATATACATATAAATATTTATACGAATTTTTTATCGTATCTTATGTAACACTAACAAAATAAATAAAAAGGTTATTTATGAATGATTATTAAATTGGTGATATAATATTAACATTATCCCTATATATAATCATCTTGATATTAAGGTATAAATTTATTTTTAGACAACTATTGCTAAAATTAAATAAATGTACTTTAAATAAATATAAATATTTTAATATATAAAATCTGCTTTATTGAGATTTACACATAATTAAAGATATTTATTTAAGTGGTAATAAAATAATTATAATATTTTTTTAAATAATTTTACATTTTTTTATATTTTACAAAATATCGCCTCAGAATGGTAAAAAAAATAAACATTTATTATATTTAATGAACATATTGTATCAATATATATATGAAATAAAAATATTATATCACGACAACTGTTTTTTCAATATATAAGAAATTTAACCTAATTTTTTTTATTAACCTATACTTCTCCGGCTCGGTAGCATTGATCAAGCCCTGTAAAAACTTTTGATGACCACCCCATAAAATATATTGTTTTTTAGTTATATAGTCTTTATTTATTTTTTTTAACTTATTTTAATAGGGATTACATTTTATTTTCACATCAATATTGGAAATTTTATAAAATTATTCTCAAGTTGAACAAGTGTGCACCGACATTGAGCCGCGGCTATGGAATTTATCTCAACGAAAAAAAAATAGCTGAGTAAATTATAGTACTTACCAGTCTCGCCACCCATTTTTATCTTGGCTTCGTAAAATTGAAATTATTAGAAAGCAAATACTGATACCTTTGTTAGTGTTACAGTAATTATGAAAGTCTTATCAATCACTTTATATCATTTACCGGACTGACGACATTTATTAAAATACAATAGTTGAACCCAAATCAGCTGTTGGCATGCTAGTTTGGCTTCCTATAAATTTTTTTATTATGAATGAAAACTGATATTATATAATTTTTTTATTAAAAAAGTTTGCATTAAAATTTTAATTTAAAGTTGTTTACAATGCCAGATCAAAATGGCGCACCACCAGCTGATTTATATTGACATACATTTTGAATGTAACGTTCCAGTTTTTATTATATGTCATTGAGCCTTGCATCGGATCGATGAAATCCAACTTTATTCGAGTAAAAAAATTTAGCGACCGATCTTCCACCATTTTTTTTATCTCTTCAAAGATCGAAAATTTTATTTGTAAGTCCGGTCCAAATTATTTTTAATATTATCGAACTGCTGACAAAGTGAAATATTTTAACGAAAACGTAATCAAATTACTAAATGCTGACGGTTAATAGAAAAAATGTAGGTGTAATTCTTGAAAGTAATATTCATAAAACAGAGGCGTTGGATCCGACAAAATTATCGGGGGGAGGGGGGGGTTCAGGTTGGGAAACTATTAAAATTGGGGTTAGGTCCAAACAGGTCCATATTCGGTCAAGACTTGTATAAATAGAAATTATTCAACGAATAGCACAAGGTATTTTATTTTGTGAAAAATAAGTGTCAATAGCTATTTTTAACTATCAACCATGAGCATCATTAGCCTTTGCGAAAAAAATAAGAATTTTAAGGGGGCTCTTCAAATTTTTCAGGTAACTAGAGCCCTTGCCCCCCCCCCTCCCGAAGTGACATATCAAGTTTTGTAATCTCTTTTGTTGCAGTAAGTTTTAAAAATAGAAATTTTTTTAATAAAAAGATACAGCCTTAATTAAAACAAGGATTTTGCATGTTTTTATTTTAAAAAAAATCATTGCAAAACTTTAACCGCCTCATTTTATAAATATTACTTTATAGATATTTTAACCATTTTCTTGATTTTATTACCCTTTTTATTATTTTTTTTGTAATATTCATATTTATTACCTCCATACGTCTTAATCGTTTTTATTATTGGAGGATTTCCAAAGGATATATGTGTTATTAAACATCTGAATATATATTTCTAAAATCAAAGTCACGACCAAATGCTATGCTAACGCCAACCTCGATGGGTTATACTTGAAACCCTCTATTAGCCATCCTAGTATGGTGTCCCTCCCGATCTCATTGAGTTAGGAATAATATATTATATAAAAATCGATAAAGATAATTTGTTGTTTGACAATATAATACAATACTCTCATATGGATAAAGGCCTATCTCAATTCTTTATGCCTTTTCAAACAAGCTACCTTCGATAAATGATATACGGATACAATAGGAAAAAAAATCTTTAATCAATACTTCTAGGAGCAATGGAACTAAATCCCATTATACGTCCTGAAACGCACCCTTAGATCCCTGGTCATATAATAAAGCACAAAAATAACCATATAAAAACTTTTGCTAATTTCCGACTCATGTGCATCCCATACTTGGCATTGGCAAGTCCACAGATGGCTCTATATAAGCTAAATCGGTGGACCGCTAAACTTTCCAAAATCCTAAAACCATCGACGTTTCTCAGCCATAAACAATAGTTTAACGGATGACCATTGATAAATTCAGATTATCTAAGAAAATGAAGTCCCAACATAATAAATTTTTTAAAATTTATTTAGTTGTTCATTTCAGTTATAAGTTATGTTCGCAATAGTATAATTGTATATGTATATATATGTGTATATAATAGTATATAATCAATAATATAATTGAACATACATACATTTTGTGTTTTGGATAGGGGGGGGGCGAGGAAGGTAAAGTAATTATTTTACCAATTTATACGAATTGATATTAGTTATATAATATTTTAATAAATGGCTCACCGCTTTGTATAAATTTTTTTTGAAAAAAATTCATAAAAAAATAAATAAAATATATAATTTCACATCACATAATATAATCCTGCAGATTGTAAGAAACAGAAAGAGCGATGAAGGTCATAATTTTAAGGTAATTGTAAAATTTAACTTTAAAATATGTAGATGAATCAAAATTTGAGCTTTGAAAGGTATATATGTGTGCTAGTAAAAGTGAAAATCTAGTTTCCTATTTTTCAATAATGGTAAATTAACCACGCTTAAAATTAAAACTAGGTCCTATCCTATATTTTATATATTTTTGAAAAGGAAAGAGTGTTAGCATTTAAAACTCTTTTAAATATTAAGAACATGTAAAAACAAGACATAGATTCCGCAATAAATAATTACTTAAAGGGGTGCAAAAGCATAATAATTACAACAATGAAAGAGAAGAAAAAATAATAAAGTAGCAATGTGCGAAAATTGAAACGATAATAAAAAAATATATATATTTATAATCGATCAAAAAAACAAACAAACAAAAAAAATGTTCAATTATAAGTTATATATATTTTTATATAAACATAATCTGGTATTTATAAATTTGGTTTGTTTGTAAGAAGAATTATATCTTTCGATTAAATAGTACCTAATTCGCGCTATTTTGTTTTTTAAGGTACGCGAAAATAAATTTTTTATTATCTAATTTACGATATGCAATTAGTGTTGATATTAGACGTAACGGATGTTAGATTTGAAGCGCCTTTCCTTTCTTTCGGTTTCAGGTAATCATCAATGGCCAAATCAAATATGTTGGCTCGGTCTTCCTTCCGGTATTGAAGACATTTCCTGATAAATGCCTTTTATAATTATTACACGTGAAATGTAAGTATAAAAAGTATATTATATAGTTTAATTTTATTTCACTTTAAAAAAAATTAACTCAAAAAATTTCTTTTTTTTCATAATGTTTTTTTGAAAGCGGATTAATACTAAAAATGGACTCCTTAAGCATGCTAAATTGTAGGAGCTAGAGATGTTCTAGGATATAATAGTAAAAATGTTTAAAAAATACTTTAGCCTCGGCGCTAACCAATGGCTTATTAGGAAACTCAACTTCTTTGGCCTTTAAAATTGTTTTTTCCTGGAGAATTGTAGCTTGGGATTGATTGTGTCCAAAGGGCTTGTATTATTCATTTTTTAAAAAATTGCAAAGAAACAATATAATAAGTTATTTTAATAAATATCCAAAAAATTTAAGAATGCAAAAAAAATTTCCCCAATTACCTTTTTGCCATATAAACATTGATAAAATATAACGCCTACACTCCATACATCGACTTTGGAAGATATTTTGGGCGGAATTTTACCGATTTCGAAACATTCGGGAGGTAAATACCTGAATTTTATGATAAAGCAAAAAAAAAGTACTTAAGAATATATCATATAAAAATAATGTGTCCATTTAATACTTTGAACAATAGAAACGGATGATTAAAAATATATAATAATTCTCATAATATTTTCACGGCAGCATAATATAATTAATACCGATGTAATTATCTTTAAAAAAATTAATTCAAATAGGTTATAATCAAATATTTAAACATTAATAAAAGTTTTTAAAAAAATCATTTCAAAAATATGATGTGATTTTGAGACATTCATATCTAATTTTAAAATACTAATATTTAAATTGAATTTCCTAATTTTTTTTCAAATTGTCATATCAAATGCCATTATTTCCCCCAATAACATTTTTACCAATAAGTTCCAGCTCCTTGGGAAGTCAAATCCATTTCTAGCGATGTGTCGGGTCCTTCGTGGGTCATGATTTTGCTAAGTCCAAAATCGGTTATTTTTATTTCCCCACTAACGCTACCGCTTTGTAAAAGGATATTTCCTTGATTAAAAAAATGTTTTGGGGAAAATATTTTTGGTTATAATTATATGCAAAATGTTGATCGAAGGAAACCGCCCATTCAATTAACATTATAATATATAAGAAATTGTTGTCTCATATCAAATAATATATTCATTTTTTAAAAAAAATATAAGACTTTTCAAAGATAAAACTATCTAACTAGCTGGTAAATAGCCCGTAAATAAAACTAAAATATTATATCATATTAACAAGGTGCTAACAAACAAAATAAAATTTAATATGTACACCTAGTGATGCAAAAATAGTTCCATTTGAGCACATTTTTAAAAACGAATAACTCAGTATTTTATGCAGAAAAATATAGCCAAAATATTTTGATAGCACAAATATTAAGTTAGCCGTTTTTTAAAATAGGCTCAATTGGAGCGATTTTATCAGTATGTAATGTACACGCATGAATTAAATCATGTAACAGATTTTTTTCGTATTATTTAGATATAATTAATCATTTGTAAACTGGGAAAACAATAGTAAATTACTCATTAGTAAACTGGGAAAACAATAGTAAATTACTTTTAAAGAAGATTTAAAGCTAGATAATAAAATCTTTAAAAAAAACTGATACATTTATCTTGGTATCATTTTATGCTATCAATATATTTGATTTTTATTTTACCCGGTTTCAAGTCATAATGTATGATAGGGGGCTTGATCTCGTTCAGGTATTTGATGGCGCTTATGGCTTGCAATACTATGTTGCGGGCTTCCCTTTCGGATATGGATTTGTGCTGCTTGAGGTAAAAATCTAGGTCATTACCATCGCAATATTCTAATACTGTGCAAAAGCTGGTAAACCCATTTTTTATAAAAAAAAAATTCATTAAAACCAAGAAAAATAATTCCGATTTTTTGTAAGTTTTTTATAGGAGTGTATCGATACCACTAAAGGTCGATCCGATCCGATATTAAATTGATATTGGCTGATTACCGGTCTCGGATTTTGTATTCTGTAAAATTCATACATCTACTCATCTCATATACCTTTTAATAGTATAACAACTATAATTTAACTATACCATAACATAAGTCATTTAAATATATTAGTGTTGAGTAGATTTGATGGAAAATATTTCCATATTTTTTAATTTATTTGAAAATAAAATTATTTGACTTGCAAAAAATTGTTAAAATAACATATTTATATATTCTTATCTATTTTTACAAGTTAAATAATTTTATTTATAAAACGAATAAAAAATATGGAAATGCTTTGAACTAAATCTGCACAACACTGTATAATTAATATTCATGAATCTTAAAGTATATAAAATATTTTTATTCATAAATCACTTATAAATATAATATACATTAATCTATTTACATAACAGAGATATATTATAAAATTTGAAATATATTTTTTTATAAGACGCCCGCTAACTATAAATGCAGGGTTATGGAGATACAATTTTAACCTAACTCATACAACCAAAATTAAGAAAGCAAGAAATTTAAACAAAATTTTTTAAGTAAAGCCATAAACAAATTTGGCATTAAAATTAAACATAATTGACATTAAATAATAATAAAAAAATATATAATTAGCATATTATATTAGTTTTTACGAGTTATTGTCGATTTCGAAAACATCAAATAATTTGATAATTTTATCGTGATTGAGTCCTTTGTGTATATTGTATTCCCTTACCGCGTGCCTATTAATAAATATAAAAATAATATGAATTGTGTATCTTGGTTCATTATTTACAGTTATGAGTGTTAGAAAGCATTTTTTAAGCACTATTTTGTATTTTAAAATATTAGGCCATATTGTAAAGTAGTATATATGTAAAATATTTTGCAGTAAAGTAGCATAAATTCACATGTTATGCCACAAATATACTTTCTTAAATCCCTATTAAGCTGTAAAGATGGGGGCGGGGGGAATCAAAAGTTTTCTTAACATATAAATCCAGAAAAAATTTCGGAGTGGTTAAATGCTCAATACCCTCCTTCTAAATAACGCATATGAAATATTGTATAAACTTTATGTAATTGGCCTTTTTATCATCTTTCCAGTCTTTATTGAGTTGATGGATTTTGCAAGCTACGTAGCGCTGTTCAATAAGATCGTACCCCTATAAGTTTAAAATTCACCATATAATATTTATATACTAACAAATTCCTAACAATTAAAAAAGAGATAAATAAATTATTTCAAAATATGTGGAGTAAATTATAATGGGACTTGAGACTTTAACCGTCAATTTTTAACCTTAATAGCAATTACCTTGTGAACTTCACTAAATCCACCCTTGCCCAATAGATTTAGGAGAAGATATCTTTCATTTAATATCACGTTATCTTTGAATCTATTATATATATACATAATCATTAATAAAAGATTGTACAAAATATTAACAAGCTTTTAAGGTACATTACACCTGTTGTCATAATAAGTGGGGTGTTATATCTTTAATTATTTTTATAATTAGTATAAGGATTATTATTTAAAAAACAGGAATTGAATAATCGATTCGTTTTATGAGTGATGGGATTTTTCGTATCAAAAACAATTTATAAGAAAATGTCATAGCAATAAAAAAGAAATATTTTTGAATGATAATTTTTTGGGGGGAAATAATGTGTCACAGATGAGGCCGATCCAATATGACTGCTAAGTTGGCTTGCCGATAACCAATTGAATAACAGTTTATTTTTTATAGAATCGGATTGGCCCATGTTAAAGTATCGGTTGTCATCGATATTTTTTTTTAAAAAAAAATCTTGTCCAATAATATTTATGCTTTTTTTATTAATGACCTGCTCTGATCCTCGTGATCTATACGTTTGAGCTCTCGAACATGCAAATTGCGTTCTCTTTCCAATTTTTCCAGATCGATTTGTAGGTCGCTCTCCTCTTTTTTGAGTTGAAGCTGTCGAAGCTTCAAAATCTCTTCTTGAATATGATATTCCATAAGGGTGAGGCTACTCGAGGAATTGTAAAGTAAAAATATAGGCTTTAACTTAATTATTTTTTAAAAATTATGATTATAAACTAATGATACGTTCCGCGTGCAATGATTAAAACAATAAAAAACGCGTCGTATTTTAAGATATGGAATCCGCGCGAGACTCAGTTTCTCACAATTTTAAAATGCCAATTTTTTATTTAAAAAAAACTGATTTAATCGAAAATATATTCCAGCATGTATGGAATACTCACCCTAAATTCACAGTTAGAGGGAATTCGCGGGGAAGTATACAAAAGTGACGGCGGTGAAGAATATAAAAATACAACATATTTTGTTTATTTCACCGCAAATTCGCCGAACTGTGAATGCAATTTAATTTTTTGCATAATTTTTTTTAAAAAAATCTCTGATTAAATGGTAGGTACTCTCAATTACGATGGATTAAATTTTCGGTCAAATCAAGATTTTAGAATTTACAGTATATGAATTAAAATTGAGAGATTCCAAGTTACTGCGAATTCAATGGCAGCTGAAATTTATTAAAAAGGCATAGTGTTGATAAAAGGTTAGATTTGACCGACTAAGGGCAAACTCAATATTTTAGCCAGAAAAATATTGCCTGAGCCTCGAGATTTCCAAATCTTATCATCTATGAGAAAAATTTTCGGGCTTACGGAATATTTTTCTGGATAGAATATTGAAGTAGCCGTTTTTAAAAATCAACCCACTAGCCGTTTAACAACAATAAAATGGCATTATGATTAACAGATTTAATAAAGAAACGTTTCATTTTTTTTTCTGTTCATTATGGTAACTTTTGTTTTCATTCCCAAACTTATCCAACCAAAATCTCAGTATTTTTAAATCAAAGCCATGAACGTGGTATAAACAATAGCTAACTTGTTATTGTGATTATTAATATTGCTTGAGCCCAGATTACCACCCGTGCCAACGGAGGTGAAGGTAAATGGAAGATTATTATTAGAGCTTATAGGGGTCATGTTGCCGTTATTAACATTAGTTATGTTGTATAATTGTTGGTTGTTGTTGGAATGGGGTGACGTACCACTGTCCTCGGAGGACACGGCCGTGTAGGGTGGAGCCGGAAGACTGAGCATGGCGACGTTTTGGTTATTATTGGCGTTATTTCCTCCCGTGCCGCAATTACTGCCAAGGGCGTTATTGACGTTTGTGTTAGGGTGATTGGAAGAAGGGAGGTTGTTAGATGACGAGATGGCGGTGGGTTTTGAACGAGAGGCGGAGGTGGAAGAATTCGATTTACCGGATGGGGTTAGCCCTTCGACCAGTGTCTTTTTCTTGGTGAGCGCCTTTTTGAGGCGTTCCAGTTCCTCCTTCTCTTGACATATTTCGTTTTGGCGCCTTTTATGCGTTATTTTTTTTAACAATTATAATAATCAATAATTTGGGCTCAATGTTTTGTTGGCTCGCCACGGGAAAACAACTTGCTGGATTTTACGAGGAGGGGCCCCAAAATTCACGTGCGTTCTTATCAAGAGGGAGATAGACCAACGTGCTAAATGAATGATTGATTTGGGCTTGTTGTTAACCTTTTTTCTAAGTGGGGTTAGTTCTTTATTTTAAGACGATATAATTATAAATCCATGGCAAGTAAAACTAATTTTAAAATCTCGATAATTGTCATCAATAATTCATTTGGAAAAAATAAAATAATTTGGGAAAAAATGAATAATTTAAAAAATCAAAGCCAAAAATTCACATTCAAAAACAAACAAAAAACGAAATCCTGTTTTAATTTTCCCACCCTACCAAATATTAACCTAACCCCCAAACCAAACACCTTCAATTTTGAAAATTTACAAGACAAATATGAGGTAAAAAAACTAACTTTAATAACTCAGTAAAAGCATATCCATCAACCCAGTTCTCCACAAAATGGACGCCCTGTCTTTGAGTTACGAATTGGCCTAACCTAAATCGGTTTTGCATGCACTTTTGACGTGCTTCTTTCTTTTCGAAGCTACACTGTTTTATGTTTTAAGTACAGATTAGTTCTACTAATCCTGGCAATATTTAAGAATATTAAAAAATAAAGGAACAGACACATTAAAATAAGGGTAAAAATGTACATCCACTTTAAATTTTTTTTTTAAAATATATATTTGAAAAACTTTTTCGATGAGCAATTTTTTCTTAGTGTAAGTGCATTTATTCAAAATCTCCTTTTGCTTTTCTATTTGTTCCTTCAAAATCAAATTGGTTTTTGTCAGTTCGGCATTTATTTGAGCTAAATCTGTATTGGTCTTAGAAAATGTATATAATATATATATATTTAAGGCTAAGTCTTAAATTTGATTACTTTATATAAAAAATAATTTTTTTACTATCATCTAAAACTATATATCGAATAGTGCGAAGTATGTAAGTTTATTATTGTTTTTAAATAAGAGTTTTTAAGAAAAGGAATTCAAATACCTATTTTAAATCTAAAAATTTTAAGATTTTTGAAAAATGGTAACCAAGTTAAGACAATTAGGTCTTGGCATCAATAATAATGACAGTTCATTCGATATCATATTTGGAAAGGCTATACCAGAACTTTCTAGCGCAAAACATTAAAAGATAACAAGCCAAAAATCGAGGGTTGTTAAATATAATTTCCATAAAAAAAATTGGGTATTTTAAAATTTTTACACATTAAAATTTATATCGTCTGCTTAGAAGTTGCATTTATATTCGAAGATTTCCCATATTTTAAAGTCATAAGTGTGTGTATACATAGTATATTTAAAACTACTCCTTAAATAAATTTATAGATTTAATATGGCCTTGGGTTAAGATTCGAGAGTATTTTTAAAAAAATTAAGGGTTCATATTAATATAACTTGTAAAATAATTTAAAAACTTTTTCTAGTTCATCAATTGCAACGTTTTTTTCTAAAATCTCAGCTGAGTTTTGCGATTCTAGAGAACAAATCATTTCAATCGACAATTCAGTCTTCACATTATATTAGTAAACATATATATATAAATATATAACCAATATAAATGAATATATATACAAAGATAAGTCATCCCGATTTTTACCTGACAATTCTTAGTGAGATAAACAGATGCACTATGGGAAATGTTGGGGGCAGCAGTATTTAAGTAAGGATTGCTGGACCTTTGGTACATGTTATGATGGAGGCCGTGACTGTTTAAGCAGCTGTTGCTGCTATAACCGCATTTGTTAGTGTCTGCGTTATTTACGAGGCCCCCGCTGTCGATCGATTTAAAAGAATTCAGATTGGCATTAGCTTTAGCGTTGGAAGAATGGGAACTGTTGGAGTTCGTAAAGGGCGAAGCTAAATGCTGTAAGGGACTTTGAGAGGGGGGATTTAAGACGATGGGTTGAAAGTGTTGGGCATGGTGGGGAATGGAACTGAACTAGAATTTGATAAAAAAAATTTTAAAAAAGGTTTAAAACAAACCAAACGTATTTCATTGAAAAATTGTAAAATATCCGAATATAAACAACTGTTTAAAAAATTTTTTAAAAAAATTCACCGAAAAAGAGGTAACAACGTTATTGGTCATCAAGGTTTTGTGAGAATTGGCTAAGACGTTTTGTCTAGGACTATCATTAAGATTCTGAAAAAATAAATCAATATACGTTTCATAAATTAATTGGTGAATATAAAAAATAATGATAATTTTACATTGGGTGTTATCCTTTACATATGAATATATTTCCGGCCAAATCAAGTTTTTCAAATTTAAAAATTGTCCTTAATGATTTAAAATTAAGAGGTTCCGAATCTGCGCAAATTCTCTTTTACAATTCCAAAAAAAATATGCTTTCCTCTTTTATAATATATTATATTTATTACTCAAATAAAGAAACTATTGAACGGGGGAAAAAAATCCATATTATTGGGCCCGTCTTAAATTTGAATATTATAGAAATAATCAATATTTTCTATAAAAAATAAATTAGCTAAATTAAAGCTTCTTCTTTTTTAAACAGTGGTGCTTTAAAATTACCCTTTTCTCATGACTAGAGGCCGATATTAAATTATTCAACCCTATGATAGTTAGTCAAATTACCTTTTCTATGATTATAATAAAACTAAGGCTCCATAGTAAACGCGTTTTGTTCAAGTGTTGCGTTATTTAATGCAGCGTTATTATAAAAATAAAGCCAATAAATGGGTTTAATTTATAAAAATGAAGCGTTATGATGAAAATGCTATGATAATATTTGAAAAACATATGCGATGCGTTGATAAAAAATATGCGATTGATTATAAAATAATAGTGAATTCAATGAAAAGGTATATGATTTTCATAAATATCATATAAAATAATTATCTCTATTTTAGCTTTATCTTAAATATTATAATTTATAAATTATAATTATATAATTAAAAATAAAATTCTATAATTGAGTCCCCAAAAAGGAACCATAATTGTGTCTAAAAATTTCTATTTGAATTTTTTGTCGAATAAAAAGGAATTCTCTTGGTTCATTTGTGAAAAGTCGTATTTTATTAGCAAGATTTTTTAAAAACAAAAATGTTGAAGGCGAAAAATGCCCGTTAGTAGAAGTCACAACTGGAGTGAATAAAAAGTTTTTAAAATTTTTGTATTTGTTTATCTTTTTAATTTCAGCCTGTGTTATTAAATTGAAATGTATGTTTGAAGGGAATGATGAAACACACGTGTAGTCCCATATGAGTGATTTGCCGAGGGCCCAAGGTATGGTTGTCATACCATCAGGTCTTAAACCATCTACTTGAGATAAATTTGATGGTTCGAGATTGTTAGGAATGTGTGCAGCTGTTAAGCTTCTATTTATTATATGGTTTACAGCTGAGTGGCGTTGATAGATGAACAACTGAGAGTAACCATTGGTCTACGTCTAGGTTGCGATATAGTACAGCCTCATGCCTGCGTCAAATGCAAATCACCCGTTGATTCAAAGGGTAGACATGGCTTAAATTGCATTTTTAGTCAAGGGCGACATCAACGCCACTCAGCTGTAAACCATATAATAAATAGAAGCTTAACAGCTGCACACATTCTTTATCTTAAATTGGCTTTTAAAAATGAATCAGCTGTAATAACACTGCAATAAATAACGTAACGCTTGAAGGTACACGTTTACTATAATAGAGCGTAAATCTAAAATCTTTTTTTTTTATAAATTTATTGTTTTAAAACTTTCAGAAGTTCTAAAATTTTAATTGAAATTTTATAATTATATTTTGGACATGTTTTTATTTTTATATTTAAAAAAAGCTTATATAATTTTTTCTATAAAATTTCAAAAATTTGCGAGTATTTTTTTTTAAGATTTTCCGACTCCTTTCAAAAAAAATAGGAAGAAAATAAACTAAATCACAACTTGAAAAGAAAAAAAAATGTAATTAAAATTCATATTTCCCATTTTATTATCATCCATTAATGTCATATTTGTTATATATTTTTTTATTTGATCAAATTGCACATTGTTTACTTTTAATGCAATTTTTTTTAAATGTTCTTTTCAGCCAATTTTTATACACAAGAATCGTTTATACATCAGCAAAAATCTGGTATCAATAATCTTTGCTAAAAGGCATACTCAACTATACTTAATCTCATTTATAATTAGGAACCTAAATTAAAATCTAAGCCTTTAATTATTAATTAATATTTTAAAAATTTTTTGATAAAAATCTAAATATGCATCCATCAACATTTTTGGGTAAATAGTAGGTCAGAGACAGAATTTTTTTTTAAAGTATTAGAAGGCGGCAAATTTATGGGGTTTTTTTTATTCTTCCGCAAAAACTTTTTATGGGCCCTGGCTAATTTATTTTTATGAGCCATGCCAAGCAAAATCAACCCGATGTATACATTTCCAAAGGCCAGTTAAGACCGGCCTACGCTGGCCTCCAATTTAAAGACCATTTTATTTAAAATTTTCGGTTCTTATATTTGTAACCACATATAAACAGTGTAACGTCAAAAAATGAAGAAAGGGAACGCCATTCGTTACCTTCATCTAAAGGTAACAAGTAACGGTAACGCGTTTCTTTTTTTGAGTAACGGTAACGAAAAACGTTACTTTACTCGTTACTTTATATTTTCTTAAAAAATATCAATAAAAAGAAAAATATATTTTATTGTATTATAAAATTACTTTTATTTATTTTTTATTTTTTAATTCTTAATATTAATAATTTAAGCCGACTTTTAATTCATATCAACCACTTCCAAATTCCAACATTTTTTTTAAACTCTCGTTGTTAAATTATCAGTCGAAATTAATATTCAATCAAAATTCAAAGTAAATATAATGATATTATTAATTTATTTATAATTTATTTTAAAAGAATATTATGTCCATAGTACTTACTTCTTCATCTTCAGATGAAGAAGATTTAACCCTTCCCTGGCCCCAATTTGAATTATATTATAAACCAATTAAGAAGATTCCTGGTACAAAGTATACACTTTGTAAATGTAAATTATGTTCCAGCGCAAATATTTCAACGTCAATGTTAAGTAGCTCAAACTTGGAAAAACATTTGAAGGTAAAGAATGAATTAATATATAATTATTTTTTAACCATGTATTTATTTTAATGATAGTACACAATAAAATTTGAAATGTATAAATTTTATACAGATTATTATAATAAAAATTAAAAAATATATACACTAATACAAATGATTATATTATCAAAATATAAATAACTTTTATTGCAAATGCAAAACCTTTATAAAAAACATATAAATATTATGATTAAGAATTTATTATTATTAAGTTTTGCATATAAAAATTTTAATACTAAAAGAACATATTATAATTTAATCATATTGTAATTTATTATTTGAATTTAAAAAGTGAGAACTCTGAGATAGATTTGGTTATTTAACCTTTTTAAAGTTGAAAATGACCTTTCTTTAGTGCAGGTATTAATATGTAAGGTAATAAAATAAAAAAAACAATGTTTTGATATTAAGCAGGGAATCTAAAGTGTAATTCACATGGAAAAGTTCTGCAAATCATTTTATGTCTCAAAGAGTGCTCTATTCTGTCAAGATTTTCATATCAGAATTTGAAATTTTGTTTTAGAGAACTGAATCAAGATATTTTTCCTGATTCCTTTTTATATGATAATTCTGATCTGATAAAGATAAAAAATTGAAAAATTATCTTTGGCAATTATAATTTCAATTTTAATGTTTTCCAATAAGCTTAGTGAGAGATTAAAAAATGCAATTAAATTTTTAAAAGATTTATCTTCAATTGAAAAAGCTTAGTCATTTTTTAAAAAATACTCTGGAATTAATAATATTTAAATTAAAAAATTATAGACTATACATTCTTCAAGAATAAAAAAAATAAATAAAAATTTGAGCAATAAAAAAAAATTAAAACCAATCAACAAACACTCATTGAGATGCTAAATCCGTCTACGTCAAAGACAAAAATAGCACAATCAATTGTTGATGAATTAGTTTTTAATTTTGTAATTGCAGAATTAAAACCATTTTCAATTGTAGAAAGCACTGCTAAAAATGTGATATCTAGGCCTACTCTCATATTAAAAATTAACAAAGCATATGACACCATGACAAAGAAATTAGTGGATTTATTGTGTATCCCAAAAATTGTCTGTACAACTGTGGATTCTTGGTCAGCTTATCATCAGTATATAAAAATATAAATTATTCTATAAATTGATAATATTGTCTTTTTAAACAGTTCTTATTTAGGGATGATAGTACACTTGTTACACCCAGACACTCTTGAGAGGGTTTCAGCCTTAGCTTGTAGAAAGCTAAACCAAAAACATACATATGATTATCTAGCAAAAATAATCTTTGAAATTTTTACCATATATAAGATACAAAATAAAGTGACCAAATGCATTACCGATAATGCTCAAAAAGTAAAAAAAATTATATAATATATTTATTAAAAATTTATTAGAGTATATGAACAAGGAGAGGAATCGGATGATGAAATAGTTCCTCTGCCATTATTTGATCTATTTGAAGATCAATATTAATGATAGTAATGTATACTTACCTAAGCATCATTCCTGTTCAGCACACACTTTAAATCTAATTGCAAGTATTGACACTGAAAAGGCACTCAACAATGTGCATTATAAAACCATTTCAAAAATTACATTTTCTAAATGTAAGCTTTTGTGGAATAAACATGGGCAATCTTCTAACTGTGCTGCCATATTTAAGGAAAATATGGGAAGATATTTAATTAAACCAGTTATAACAAGATGGAATTCTTTCTATAACTCTGTAAAATTAATAAATAGTCTTATTAAGGTGAATTATCAAAAATTCGATGAATCTTGCGACAAATCTGGATTAAAAAAATTTTCAGATAACGACAAGTCGTTCATAGACGAATATTGTATGGTTAGTGTTAATTAAAATATGATATGTATATCTATGATTTTATAGGTTATGGAACCGATAGCTACGGCACTTACAATTTTAGAGAGTGAAGATAATATGCATTTGGGATATCTCACTCCCACTATAACCATATCAAAACTTAAAAAATTGGCTTTAAATAATTTTAAGTTTTGTAAGCCGCTTATTGATTCAATCCTGGAAGCCATAGATAAAAGGTATACAGTTCAAATATTGTTTATAATTTATATTTTGACTATCATATTTTCAATAGATTCAAACACATCTATGATGATGAATATATACTGTCGGCAATAATTCACCTATTATTTAAATTGGATTGGCCCTGGATAAAATTAGAGGTCAATAAAGGAAGAATGCTGGAACTTATTTCCAGTTTGAGAAAAGATATTGATAAAGAAAGAACAGGCTTGATTCCTTTATCCAATACACACTAGAATATTTTCAGATAAAGATAAATTTTTTTTTTGATGAGGAAATGAATGAAGATCTCTGTGAAAAAGATCTTTCAAGCTTTTTTCAAAGTAAAGATATTTCTTTAAATATTTTTAATAAATTCCCCGAATTGAAAATTTTGTTTATTAAATATAACACCACTCTCCCATCCTCTGCGCCAATTGAACGTGTGTTTAGCACGGCGAAAGCTGTGTTGAGTACTAAGCGTTCATGTTTATCTGATTAAAATTTTGAAAATCAATTGTTGTTAAAAATAAATAAAAAATTGTTACATAAAGATGTTATATTATAATATATTATTTTTGTATAATTTTATTCATATTATAATTATATATGAAAATTTTACTATAAAAAGTTCTAATAAAGTTCTAATCTTATACGTTCTTTTTTTGTATATTTATTATATATTGTCGGAAAAAAATAAATATTTTTTTGCATTATATGTATTTAATTTTTTTAAGTAACGAGTAGCCCGTTACTTTTTTGAAAAGTCGGTAACGCGCGTTTCTTTTGAAAAATGGTAACGAGTAACGGTAACGCGTTCCATTTTTCAGATGTAACGAGTAACTGTAACGCGTTTCTTTTTTGTAGTAACGTTTACAGCATTACATATAAATAAAGCATTATATTCCAATCATGATTTAAAAAATTTAGTTTTTACTTACTTTGAAATATTCGTTGATTTTTTTGGTGGATACAACGTCAACTTGTTGAACGCCCCTTTTAGCTATAATAATTTAATAGATTTAAAAATATACATTTAAGTATTCTAACTAAAAGCGTCCTCCAAACAGATAAATTTTAAAATAAGCGTTTAAATCAGAAATCTGCAGGTCTGGCTCACAAAATTCCTATATAATCTTAGAAATCCAGGTTACGCTAGTCCAATAAATATGTTTAAAAAGTGCTTATAATCCCAAGCAGAACTTGTAAATAATTTAACTCATAAAACTATCTAAAAAAATTTATATTCGATTAATGAAGGTCACGGTTCTGACCGAACCGGATCAAGGTCCTCACATAAATAACCGATTCAGTCCGGGATGCGATCCTCGAAAAAAAAACAGTCCGTAAATCGGCCCGGTCGAGTCCCGGTCCAAAACCTCTAAAACTGGACAGTTGACTTTAACTAATTTCAATTATATCTTAATCAATAATTTACTATATTTTCAATTTACTTATGAAACAACAATTTACAAAAACAATGGCAAAATTATTTAAAAAATAATGAAATTTAATCTGGGCACAAAGAAGTTTTTTTTGAAAAATAAATTCTAACTGGGTTTTGAAAATGGGAAAAACATTTTAAATACAGATCTTAGCCAGGTTTATAAAAATACAACTTCTACATGTCATTAAATGATAAACTTTTAAATTATTTATATACAAATATAAATACTTTCGTCTGCACTTTTGTTATCAACCCTGCGCTTTCTTTTTCTTTCTGAATTAGTATGAGATTGTTTGTCAGATTTATCCATGTTGGAGCACTTTTAGTAAAAATAAATTTGAAAATTTAATTTTAAATTAACTAATTATATTAATACCCCATCTAGAGGTTTGCATTGGGCGGGTTTTAGCCCAGGGGGCGAGCGGGTTAAAAAAATTTTAAAGAACGTGTGGGCGAGTTAAAATAATTAAAATTTTTATTTGTTAGTTATATTAGGCTGTGTCCAAAATATCAAAAAATTCGTTTCACAAACTCATGAAACTTTATCAAAAAAGAAAAAATAGGCATTTTTTTAAATATAAAAATAAAAACATGTCCAAAATGTAATTCGTGAAAATTTAACATACGATTTCATTAAAATTAAAAAAAAAAATTTGGACACTGCCTTAATCAAACATTTAAAAAAAATATGCTTTCTGAAATTTCAACATTTTCAATACCAAAGTACCGAAATTGTCACCTAATTTGCTATTTTTTCCTACTATATTATGATCATCAAAATATTTGCCCAGGATAATTTAACTGCCCTATTTTTTTAAATTATAGTTTAATTAATTTATGGTCGTTTTAAATTATATTTTTGTTTAAATGGGTATATGTAAAAAGGCATCTCCAAAATTAGTGAGGTCATTAACTCATATAAGAGAGTAAATCATGGGAGAAATATACCAAAGTAATTAGCCATTGGTCAATACATTTGGTATATACTAAGGAAATATAATTACCTGGGGATATATAAAGAACACTAATTCCATAAATGAGATTTTATGAAAAATAATTGTCAAAATTGGTTAGTATCTTCTTCAAAAATGCTGAGATTTATGTGAATAAAAGACAAGTCTCCATTTCAACCCATCAATGAAATTATATTCAATATGATATTCCATTTATAAGGCAAAAAAAACTCATTTTAAAATTTGTTTACATCATCTCTATAATATGTAAATTAAATAAATAAACAAGTAACACAATTAGCAATAAATCAAAATTTTATATAGATATTGGGACATAACAAAATGGGTTTATGAAAATATAAGCAGACACCTTCCATCTTAATTGCTTACAAAGTAACATTAATCCATATAGTAAAATAGTATGGGTTTGTGCAAATGCAAAAGGCCTAGGTAGTATTCTATGTATAAATAATATAACAATTACTGTTAATATCAATATATCATCTAAGTTCTGATAACATCCATTCTTATTAAGACATGAAACAAATCTTACCTTTTAGTAATAAGAATATATTTTCCATACTGCTATATCTGGGAACCTTGAAAGAATCATAATTTTTATTTTAAGTTATCATGCAGCATATCTCAATCATATTGAAAACATTTGAGGGTTACTCAAACAAAAGGTTATAAATCATCTAAAATCAAATGATTGTTTAAAGAATAAATTTGATTTAAAATGTGTGCCAGAATCTTATTAATTCAATGCCAAACAACATCACTGCTATAAAAGCTAAATCGCAGGGCAAAAATATTTATATTTTAGCATTGTAGGACAATAATTTTGAATAGAATTTATTTTAAATATATATTTTAATAATTCAAATCAGAGTTTAGATTTTTTGAAGCATAAAATCTTGAAAGATCACAAAATTTAATATTTTTATAAATAAATCAAGATTTTTTTAAAAATTTGTGATCTCATCATGGAAAATCTTTTATATATAATAATCTCAAAAAAATTGGAAGTGTCAATATAATTTGATCAAAAAATGGCACAAGCATTCTCATATATTTTTATTAATCTTTGAAGATTTTATATTTTGAAAACCATTTCAAACTCTATTTTAAATTTAATAATTTATATTAAATTTTGTTCATTATATATTTGGTATTTTATAATAATTTATTTTTGAAATATTTTAAATTTAAATTTTTTATAATCTAAATAATATGTGGCCAAATACAATGGAGCAGGGTAGTATATGTGTATCAAATTTCAAGATTATCAAATTAAGTAGAATAAAGTATATTTTAATAAAAGGGTAACTCTAAATTTTATATATATCTCCAAATACTGATTTCAAATAAATATTATATAAATGTTTATGATCATAATTAAAATATATAAATTCAAAATGTATAAAGGATGTGATAATTAAATATATATTATCATTTGATCTGAATAAAAAATAATTTAAAAGTTTACAACATCTCCTGGTTGTGCAGGCATAAATTCCTTGCCCATACTAGATTCTGTACTAGCTGTACTTTGATTAGAATCATTGGTGATAGTTGCATTTGACAAATGGTGAGAATAAATATTTGGACTTTGAGCTATAATATTTGCATTTAAAACGGGAGTAGGTATAGGTGATTTAATCAATAATGAAGAGGGAGGATTGTGAAAAGCGTTTGAATTATTGCTATTATTATTGATCTAAATATATTGTTTAAGTTTTTTTTATTAAAAAAATAAGAATTATTATGAATAATTTTGAGGTAATCGAGATATTAATATATATTTAAAATTTTAATCGTTTTTTTTGGTAATGAAATATATATAAATATATTACTATTACTTTAGCATTTCCTAAAAATCTTGCTTCCAATAGTTCTTGCTTACGAGGATCAATACTTTGGAAATCATTCATAATTTGAACAATCCTATTAAGTTACAATCAAAATATCTTAAAACTAATGTTATGATATTATACCTGGTACAACAATATGTATACTGAAGAAATATATTAAAATTCAGCTGAGACAAACCATGACAATTATGACTGAAATGAAAAATATATCAATTCATTTTAGAATAATATAATTGGAATTGAAATTCCCTAATTATTATAGGCCTTATATATATATTCTCATTAAAACAAACAGAACATGCAAAAATAAAAAACAATATTGTATTTATATTAATTCACTCTCATCGGATTATTAATATCTTAATGCAATTAGTTTAGAAGAAATGTTACGTATAATGACTTGTCATTATCTAATGTAGGCAAATCGCGCAGCTACCCCTCTATAAGAATTTCTAAAAAAAACAAAAGCAATCGCCTTAGACCCCCTCTATATTTATTAATGATGATAGCATTTTTATATCTCCTTACACTCCCTCTCCCTTTGTATTGTTAATAAGCCCTATCTGGTCGATCTTAAAATCGGCCTAATTAAAATTATAACCTTAATAATATTGTGTGCCTGATAATTTTGCTCATAAGTAGCAGAAAGATTTGTGCTTCTACTTGAAAATCCTGTGGCCTACACTATATTATTTTGGAATAGGGCCGTTTTAAAAAATTTACCCAAATTGGGTTTTTTTAAATAACAATACCACCCCCCATCCCCTACTCACTCTACCATTTTATGACTTTGAGTTATACCCTCTCCCGTAAGCCCTGACTCTACTTACCTCTCAATTATTTATTCTTTTAATAGCTAAATATTTTTTTAAAAAAATCGTTTTGAGTAATATATTTTATTAATTCTGGTAGGAGAGGCAGTGAAAAAATTTTCTCAGTAATCTCTTCCTTTTTCCTCTCCTGCATTACTCAAGTTTAATGGTCGATTTATTTACAAGTTACTAATTACTATATTTAAATTTTAGATGTAGTCTTTATAAAACGCGTTCCCCAGTACAAATTAGAACTTTTTCAGGCACATCCCATTTTTTTAAATAGAAAAAATAATTATCATGATTTATAGTTTTATTTTAAAAAACAAATTTTATAATTTTTTAAATTTCTTTAAAATTCCAGGCTCTATTTAAATGGGGGAAAAAAATGTCTGAGAATAATTCTATACGGAGATTCAAAATTTCTAAAGTTTAAAAATTAAAACGACAATATGAAAATATATTGCCTAGAGACGATTAATTATATCTATTCCTATCTATTTATGGAAATATTTAATCTAGCATAAACATTATTTTAATTTACCCCTCCAAAAAAATATAAAGGACTTGATCTAGGCTTTCTTTTAACCCCATAAATCCAATGACATATATGTCATTGCATTAATCATATAATTAATATCGTCTTCTATCAGTGACAAATAACTTGTTTTGAAGCTAATTTAACTAACCCGTGATTAATTATTTTATCGTCACCTAGCTCGTCAGCAAATGTAGCTGTATGAATAACCTATCCCACGGCCAGTTCATATAAAGATTAGGGTGCAATTATCGTGTCGCAGACCTACTTTCAATGACATACCTACCCTCCAGCAGCGACACAGATCCGCTTATAAATCCCCGTTTATTGCTTATGGAAAGGCTGATTAAGAATGACTTGAAACTTATCTAACTAAAAAAATAAGATTACTTTCACAGAAGTTAAATTTAGATATGCAGTGACAATTATGGTTAGGGATAAAAATATATCAACCCTATAAATGACAAATATGTGGTTCATAAGTTTTGTCAAAAAGCAAGAAATCCTTGTAATTTTAATAAAAACAAATACATAACGCCTGAAATAAATAATAAAGGCATACAGAAAGCAGTCTAGGAACTAATATTTCAACATAATTCAAATCACTTGATTTTTCCATTATTAACAACACTCAATTAGATAGAAACCGACTAATTCTATGGAAGAAAGGCAAACATATGTGTTAAGTTGGGACTTTACATATATTGATATTTTTTCCACTTCTTATATGATTACGATAATACTCTACCTCAAGGTATTTGAAGTTCAAGGAAATTTTTTTAATTGGATTTAATATATAAAGCTAGACAAGTAAGTATGATTAAAGATTAGAAAGATGTGGGTTAGGGCTAATTAAATGTTTTATCTATAGTGGTTAAAGGTAAAGTATATTGAGGAAAATTTTTTAAAAATACAATTTAATCATTTTTTATTAATTAATAGTCAAATCTAAGAGATCATGGGATTAAAAATAATTTACTTGAGTTGGACCATAATCAGCAATTACTATTCACTTAGAAAAAAGGTTGATAAAATTACATATTGATATTCCTTATAAATAAAATAGATTAGATAAATATATTATTCTGAATATTGACTAAATTATTCTGACAGATTACATAATTCATGTTTAGAAATATTGATAAAGGTTATTTTTCATATCTTTACTTTTTTCTCATTTATATGGTTTATCATTGTTTTCGAACAATAAATCATTACGAGAGCACAAAATACGTGAAACATATTTTTAAATTTATTCCCATTCAATTTGAACATCATAGAAGGAAATAATGAACAATCAATGTATTTGCCTCTATTTTTATTATTCTTTTGAAATTTAAAACCAACATCTGTTAAAAATATCATTTTTTTACACTATAAACTTATAATTTATTCAATCAAAATTAGAAAAAAAAAAATTTAAAAATTCTGAAAAAATTAATTGCTTAAAATAAATGTGCCTTATTGTTATCACAAAATACAATAAAGTAAAGGAATAATCTTAAAAGAATTAATATTTATAAATAAAAATTTTTTTATTGTTGTTTTAAATTAAATGGCTGGACATCATGGCTAAAAAATGTTATATTTTTTTATATTAAAAAAATATCCATCCCCCACAATCTTGATGTGATATCAATGGAATTCAATTTAATAGTTAATTTTCATTTTAAATCTCAGAGAACGGATGGGCGGTTTAAAAATACTTTTAAAATAATGAGCGGGCGGAGTATTTTTGTTTAAGATTTAGCGGGTACCCACACGTAAAAATTAGAATACTTTCCATTTTATTAATGTTTTTGCAATTGCTTATCCGAGTTATAAATAAACATCATAAATCTTTTTAAATTAATTTTTTTTTATAAAGTATAAATATTGTGATTCAATAAATAAAAATTACTTGCAAATTAAATTTATTACTTATTTTGCAATATAATTTTATATATAATACAATATGTTTTTTTGTATTAAAAAAAGATGGCGTTGGAAGGGTGAATTTCATAAAGCTCATTTTAATATTTGAGTCTAAGCTTCCTCGCTAAATAAAAAATATATAAAGATTTTCTTTTTAATTTTAAAACATTATTAGACTAAATTGTTTAGCTCTAAGTTGTTCACAATTCGAAATAATGCATTAAACGAAATCATATTTTGGTAAATACTCCATAGATAAGGAATATTTTGTCAACTGCAAGATCTTTGCCAACATATTTAAAAAAAGTAGGAATATAAAATATCTAAACAAGAACAAGATGGAATTACAGAAAAGAAAGCATATATATAAATATTAGAGATCTCTGTGCTTTTACAATTATGTGACATTATTTATAAAATGGGATTATTGTATTTTCTCATAATATATTGCAAGTATATCTGAATCATTTTTATTATTAGATGTTTAATAAAATTAAAATAAAAAGACGAGCAGATTATAAATTTTATTTCTAAATAATAAACTGTGGGTAAATTTTTTTTAAGCTAGTGGGCAAGGAAATCTATATTTTTTCATGTATTTGGATGGGCGGGTTACAAAAATTTTGGAGTGGGCAGACATTTTGGCTAAAATTTGCCCATTGTGATCCTCTAATGTTCCACCAAGTTTCACCTAATTAAGCACAAACGATTTACAATTTATTTTACTAAATTATTATAAGCAAAAATTTATTGAAATTTTTTTTATATAATTTTATATATATATTACGCTGATTTTTATTGAATAAATTATGAATTTATGGTAAAAAATTATATAATTTAATAATTCTCGTTTTAAATGGGAATTTGTTCGAAAATAAAAAATGTTTTTAGTATTTTGTGCTCTCAAAATACGAGTTTCTTTTCGAAAACAACTCTATCAAAGTTTAATAAAAATATTAAGCATCCGTTGATGTTTTTGGTTCAAGATTTTAAACAAAATATTTTCTAAAACTTTTTCTAAAATATTAACTAATCATGTAAAAATATCCTTATAAGATAAGTTTTCTTGTAAGTCCTTGTTAAATATGGATTTATACATATAATTATTTTATTTATACTAGATATTGTTTGTTTAATTCATCTACTGATCAGGCAAATTTTTTTTATTTTAATCATATTTATTTACAGATTCTATGAACATTAAATCTCAATATTGATAGTAATCATCAAAACTTACACTAAAGAATTTAAACTTAAAATCAGCCATCACCCACCTTTAAAGTAATTAAATTATACTGTAGTTCTCGGTTATAGGCTCTTTTTTTTGCCCCACTCCTTTTTATAAGCCTATAGAGGTTTAAGCAACATTTTTCGAAATGTTGCGCCTACCTTCATAATAATGCGTTCTTTCTCGACTCTACAACTACTGCTAGTAAATATTTCATTCATAACTTACGTTAACATGAGTTGTCCCGATAATTTTAATCAAGTTTCCGTCGTAGGCTGTAAGCCGCACACTGGATTTCTTCATATACCAATTTTTTTAGCCATATCATGAGGTATGATAGTATATTTTGATACAGTGTCGACCTGCATAGTAGTAGTAATATTATTTAATTTCACAATAGTCATAAAAGCACTGTCATCACTTTTGTCTGTATTTTCAGCCAGGTTGTTGACATTGAAATCATTCTCATTATTATCTTTGGCAGTGTCAACTTTATTTTCCCCAATTTCTTCAATGTTCATATTACAATTATTGCTATCGTAGAAGTTTTGATTATCATACTGGATTTGATTTCTTTGATTAAAATCCTTCCACCTATTACGATCGTCATATTCGATTTGTTTTCTTTGGTTAAAATCCTTCCGATTACGATCGTCATATTCGATTTGTTTTCTTTGGTTATCATTATTATGCC